TCATGAACCCATGCTGGCTGGGCTTGAAAATGTACATAGAAATGTGTACATTATGTTAAATCAGTTTTAACTATTCAGATTGACTTGGGCAGGTTACAGCTTTCCCTTATTTTATATATGATTATTACCAGTCAGCTTTCTGTAGAACTGGAGGGAACATAGGTCTGTAGTGTGACAGGCTGTAAAGTCCCATCATCTTGACCTTTTGAAATTAATGTGACAAAAGTATATGTATGCTATGCAACTTCCAGAATAGTTGAAACTCCAGCTAAGCTTGTTGCTTAAACCTTTTATTCCAAAATACTACTGAAAAAGTCAGAGTATCCTGACAGTCAAAAACTAAACCTAGATCTGTGTGGGCCAGTGAAATTTGCATCCCTACCTTTGGAAGTCCTTGCTTTTAGAAACCAAGCATTTTCTGCCCTGACACTTTGAAATGAGTTTATTATTAGTGGCTGGCCTGACTCTAGGCTTCATGCAGCTGACTTTAAGGTTTTCTCTCAGTGTGGTCTTTTTAATATAAAAATCCTGCTCAGTCTGGCTTTTTCGATGAGTTATTCAGAGGGATATCTGACTCTAAAGCTTGTCACTCGGTTTGTTCTTTTTAACCTGTCTCTCAGATACTGTTTCATGGTAAATACTTCCTACACTGCTTTCTCTGAGAGTGTTCATTTTCCAGGTGGAGGCATTGAGAAAGTTTTAGCCTTATTTCCTTTTGGAGATTTAGGTAACTTTTTTTTTCTGTCCTTGAAGCTTGTGGGTCATCCAGGGAAAGAAGAATTTATTAAAAGGGGTTTTTCTAAATAAATGTTCTGGCTGGTAAAAAGCTCTGTCTTGCTTTATTTTTTCCTGGCCTTTATGGAAAAAGGGTTAGTTTTGTCATGGGTTTTTTTCCACATTTTGTCCTTTATGTTTCTTTAGATTAAATTCTAGAAATATTTTGTGAACATATTGAAAAGCATTGCGTCTGATTCGTACTTCCACAGGGACTGTGTTCAATGCAGAGCTTTTGACAAGGGAGAAAAGAAGGAAACATGTTCTCAGGAATGTATGCATTTCAACATGACACGGGTGGAAAGTCGAGACAAGTTGCCACAGCCTGGACAGCCCGATCCGTTGTCTCATTGCAAAGAGAAGGATGTTGATGACTGCTGGTTCTACTTCACGTATTCTGTCAATTCAAATGGTGAAGCCAATGTCCACGTGGTAGAGACCCCAGGTATGAACGTGATGTTGCCTACTCTCCCTTTGTCTTTGCTGTTAATTGGCATATCTTTGATATTCAAAATACTGGCTTAAGTACAAAATAAAATTTTAAAAGCACCTGGATATGCATTACTTTTACCATTTCATAAAATCGTGCTTCCCTCGCTTTGTTCCCTAGAATGCCCCAGTGGCCCTGACATCATTCCCATTGTAGCTGGTGTGGTTGCTGGCATTGTTCTTATTGGACTTGCATTATTATTGATTTGGAAACTACTAATGATCATTCATGACAGAAGAGAATTTGCTAAATTTGAAAAGGAGAAGATGAATGCCAAGTGGGATACGGTAAGTTAAGATGCTTTTATCTGTGTAAAAGCTACAGTAGTTGAGGAAGAATAGGAGGTCTTTGTTCATGCGCCTTTAATGTTTCAGACTCTTCTGCCTTTTGGCCTGTGGAGGAACAGAAATATCCTTATTTATCCTAAAGCTGACTTTAAAACATGTTATGTGCTACCACTAGGAGAAAAACAAACAAACAAACAAAAAATTAAAAAAACCCAAACACAACAACAAAAAACCTCCAACCCTCTTTGAGAAGTACAGGTTGGGTTAGAAAAGTGAGTAGTAACTTCAGTTGAAATAAAATTTCTGTGAGAAAATGTGATGGTGACAAAATAGTTCAGCTTTGCAGTTCTACCACATTTTACATGTTATTAAAATGTTTCTTAGAAGAAGAGAGGCACTTTTGTATAAAACGAAGGAGAAAACTGTACGCTTACAAAAGAGATCTTATAAATATTCATACAGGTTTAGTTGTGAGATTTCAGTAACTGGTCACAAAATCTTGGCTGGTACTGGTCTGTTGAAATCTTCCCAGTCCCTTGTCAACAGGAAAGTATGCAAGAAAGACAAGCCTATGGTCTGATGGCTTACATAGGCTATAGGGTTGCTGCCTCTGGGAAATTTTAGGAATCTGCTAATCAAAAGCCCTTCACTTCAGTTCTGTAGATGTCAACACCCACATATGCTTGATAAGAGAATACTTTTAAAAAATCTCCTAGGAAGTCTTTTGTTTTTATTTAAGAAAATTAATTCTATGCTGGAAAAAAATTACTAATACTTTTCTTTATATTTAGCATGATTTTTTCAGTGTTAATTGAGAATGTTACTTTTCTTTTTTTCCTGTTGAATTATTCGATATTGACCATTTCTTTTACTTCAGCAAGAAAATCCAATATACAAGAGCCCTATTAACAATTTCAAGAATCCAAACTATGGACGTAAAGCTGGTCTCTAAGTCTCAGTTTGTATCTTCTTTCATTTTCTTCCTTTTTTTTTCCTTTGCATGTCACTTCAGACTCACTGTGTGTCACAGTCAGTTAACCAGAGTTTGAGTCTTGCTCAGTTTATCTACTGCTGCTTTGATTCTGAGGTTTTAAAGAATGCAGCTTGAAAATTTTTAACTCATTTTGACAGCAAGATTGCTTGCTTACTAATACTACCAGTACTGGCTTAAACTATTCTACAAGTTATTTTCTTTTTTCCTTGGTGGGTAAATGTATGGGTATGTAATAGAGCAGCTGTTGGGACTGAAGAAGCTCTTTGGATTGTGGAGAGACACAGTGTTAGGCAAGGGTTTGTCTTCTGTTTCCTTAAATCAGCAGTCAGTTTGCTTAAAGTTATGTTTTCAAAGCTAATTTAGTTATTACTTAGATATCCCAGCCTATAAATATCACTGTTTTTATTAAAATAACTCTGGGAACATTCAAAGTACCCTTACAGGTTTTTGGGGGTTTTTTTGGCTTATTAACCTAGTACAGAATTAGCCTGTACTTAAAGTGTGGAATGCATCCTATATTGATTTTTACAATTAAATATGTATCTTATTTTTTCCATCCTTATTTCTATTGAAACTGGCAATATCATAATTCTCTTAGCCCAGACAGCTTGGAGATCTCCATAGAAAAAAAATAACCACCACATTAAGAGGAGGAAATGTTTTGGTCACCTCTAGATGCATTTTCCTCCAGTTTCTTAGTCCCTCCTAAACTCTGCCTGAACACCTCATTTCTATTTGGAAATGCTGACTTCGGTTCTCTTCACACCAAACACACAAGGAGAAACAGCAGTATCCAGAGGAGGAAGTCAGTAAACCGGAGGTGATGGATAGATATGTTCTGTAGACTTTGAGTCTGCACTTTCTTGAATGCTTTAAATGTTGTCTTCTTTCCCTGGGATCCCCAGCTGCTGAAGAAGGAATGAGAAAGGGAGAATGAGATGAAGAATGGATGTCAGAAGAGTGTTGAGAGATAAGAACTACAGAGATCAGTTAGAGGGAAGGGAATGAAGCTGGGAGGGCAGCACATCCCTTTAAAATGAAGAGCTTTTTTCAGGAGCCGGTGGAAGGAAAGGATCTGTATCTGTAATTTTATTCTGTCAGCTGTCTCCGTTTTTCAGTGTTGCACTGAAAAGATTTTTGTAAAGGAAAAATGAGGGGAGAAAGCAGGAATTAATAGTATTTAAGCTCTTATCTGTCCTCACTGTGACAACAATTTCAAATACTTTGTCTAGCATTCTGAGCCCTTCCTTGATGAAATATACTTTTCTCTTTGCAGTCATTTAACTTTCCAGTATGTCCAAAATTGATTGTACAAATGTTCATTTTACTTGCCACCAACGACATTCATCTCCTTTCCATTTTTCTTCTCAGAGTCAATTATTCTGCGGAGGAAACTGAAATCTTGTTCTATTCTAACATTTCACATAATTCCTCTAGTTAAGTCCCTGCTACCTTCTCTTCTGCTGTTCAATTAATGGTGTGCTTTCTGCTGCATGCAGGACGAGCATCTAACAAACCGTACGGTGTGTGACTTCCATTCTCCGCTCTTGTTCTCTACCCCACAACTCTTTCAGGATCTAGTGTCCTCAGTGCTGCCTTAAAATGTATTTCTTGAAGAAAGATTTCCTCTTGTGTAAATGGAGGGATTGACTGAAGTATGGAAGAGTGTGGGTTTTTTAAACATGACTTTATCCTCCTTGGTATTCAGAGAAATACCGGAACTTTGGGGAGGGGGGAGGTGGGTTTAGCTTTATTGACCATCAAAAAGGAGATTGAATTGTCAGAATAGGTGACCCACATGAAGTAAAAGGAGAAAATCCTCCTCTCCCCTATAACTGAGATTTTTCTGGCATTTTTAGATTGTTGAAGTAACTTTGGTTAGGTGAAGAAAGAGTTGTCTCGTATTGCCAAGGCAAGAAAGTCATCTGAAGTCCCATTACAAGAAGATTAAACTGCAGAAGGTTCCCTCCAGGTGTATACATGTACAATCAAATAAGCTGCATGCAGTTTGTCCATGACTTGGTTATTGCAGTGAGTAAACCGGAGCACCACGAAGCTTCTCACGAACGAGAGGCCCAAATACTCCACCAGTCCTCATCTGTGATATTGTGAGTGACTTGTCGCCACAGTACCCTTGCAGTTGATGCTCAAGCCAGCTAGGTTGAACAGAGTTGAATTTTTTTCTTGACCTGCAGCATAGCTGCTGTCTTGGTGCTCCTTCACTACTGTCAGGCTTTACTGTCTTCACTGCCTGCCTGGCTTACATTTGTGCTGTTAAAGGGGTATGTACTGAATAGCAGGCTAGCTGCTTTCCACCTGTCTTCCAGTCATGGTGACACCCTTGGTCGTCTGTACTGCCCTTAACCTTGGCCTTTGCTTCATCCTCTGATGCAATTGCCATGTCTACAGGTTGACAGATGACTCATTTTATGTTACTGTTAAATAATGATGGATGTTAGTGAGAGCTGAAAATATTAAGAACCAGCTCTTGAACAATGTATGTGGATGAGTTTACATATTCTAGAGTGCCGTTTCTTGCAGTGGATTAGGAGTTAAACCCACTAGAAAGGTAGTTAAGGTGACTGTTGAAATAGTAAGTCCATGGAGAGAAAAAGGGAATAAGAAGGCTAATCAGACATCCTATATAGTAGGTTCATCTTTATGCAACACTGGACTGAACTGTTACCCTCTGAACAGCCCAGTCTAGTTGAAAGTGACTATTGTTGCAAGAACATAGCTCTTTATTCTCTGATGAAGGCACTTTTTTAAGTACCTCAAGCCTTATTTTAATGTATTTGACTCAATTTTGCATATAGTTAGTGTTTGTTAATATTTATTTTGGTTTAAGTGTGCATGGTGTTTTCATTTATAGGGGCATGTGGCAAAAGTGTTTTTCTTAACTTTGCATGCCTAAACCAATGTATTCTCCATAGCGGTGTAAAAAAAAAATGGGTTTATTGAAAAACGGTACTATTTGTCTAAAACAGCAAGTTTGGAATAGCATGTTTTAGTACCCAGCTAAAAATCTGGAATGCTGCTGATTTCTGGAAGCTCATACTATGTGCCAGCTGTGAGGGGCCCTAAGTGAGGTCAGTTGTGTTGGACTAGTGGACATTTATTTACTATTTCCATGTTAGTTTTACTGATAAGCTATTTGTAGAAGACCTTGCCAAGCCAGGGCTGAGACATGGTGATCGAGTACGGCTGGCAAGGCCTGGGCTGTTGCTGCCTGTCTAGCAGAAAATAGCAGGGAAGGACTTGCAAATCCATCGGGCGCCTGTATTGCGGTTGATCAGCCATTTAGCTGATCAACCGTAAGATTGGGTTAAGCTGAATAGTTCTGAGTGTGTTGACTAAATCTTCATTATTTGTAATGGGAACTGAGACACTCAGCTGTCATGGAGAGACGCCTAGTTAAGTGCCTTATTCAGTGACCTAAATCCCAGTCTGCTTCTGAGAGTTCTTGGGAACATAAAATGCAAGTACAAGGGAAGACAGTACAGTGTTTCAATTTATTTCCAAATAGGACTGATTCTAAATAAAGAGCATGTAAATTTCAAATTCTGATTTCTCTTGAAAAAGTATCATAGTAAAAATTTACTATCTTATTATGCAAATTGCATTTTAAACCTGATTCCAAATTTAAATTAATTGTATGAGGAGCACCCTGCAAATTTCCAAGTTTTAGTCTTAAGCTTTATTCCAGTTCCTGTGCTATCTGATAGAAGCTCTCTCTTTTACAAACAAGAAAGTGTAAACATCTACCTCCCTGTGTTTGCTGGGGGTAGTCTCTTTTACAAAAGGTTGAACATTACAAGCACGTTATTATAGAATGCCTTGCCATTGGAAAGCTGTGCGATGTCTTCTGCATATGATACAACCTGTTAAGCTTACAGACTTTCTCTGCATTAGAAACTTTACTGATTTATATTTATAAGAATTCTTCATTAAAACTTAAGGAAACAAACAATGTATGCTGCCAGGAACTTTGAGGCATAATGAGATACTTCAGTTACATATTAAATCCCCCATCCCTGGATGTTTTTCTAGTTTCATTTACGTCTTACTATTACAAATCTTTTTATTAAAAATAAGGAGGGGTGGGGAGCAATTTTGCATTGATTTATATATCTAGCTGGGAATTAGCCACAACATTTTATTTCCATTATCTTAAAAAAAAAAAAAAAAAAAAGGCAAAACTTAACTCCCCATCCCCTTCGCAACCAGTAGCGGATATACTTTCATTCAAACCAGAGTTTGCCTGGGAACTGGTAGAAGGGTCTTTTGCTATTACTGTGTGTTTGTGAAGCATAGCCAGCGCTGGACACCTAGTTCCTCTGTCACCTCAAGCCGGGTGACATGGATGCAAATCTTAAGAGTGATCTGAAACCTTGACTTCCATTGTCCAGCAGTCCAGGTTCTAGCTGGTCTTGAGAGACTAGGCTGCAGTCTCTCAGGCCTAGACAGGTTTGGATGTGGCTCGTTGCTCTTTGTATGTACAGAAACTGGCTTTAAGGAGAAATTCCCTTTTTTTATGAAAGGAACCATGACAGAAAGGCAGTACACAACAGCTAAATGGTCCTCCTTAGCAGCAGCTGCTGTTGGGGTAGACCGGTTACTTGCCCCGTACCTGGTCTTGTAAATAGAAGACAACAAACTTCCCAAGAACTGTGATATGACAATTTCACACCAAGTTGGTCTCTCACTTGCCTTGTCACCTTTTGGCACATCCTGTGGTATTCCCAGTTAATTTTCCAGGTTTATGACCCTGAAAAAACAGACACACCCTAGTGTTTGTGTGTCGAGGGGAAGGATTTCCTTTAACTTACTGTAAAACAAAATTGTTTTAACTTAAAATATTGTAAGTGCTGTGCTATTTAATAGAGTAGAATTCAATTAATATGGTTATATAAACCATCTCAGACTGGGGAGGGGTTCAAAGGGAGAGAGGTTCCCTTGCTGCTGCTGAAGGCCAGATATGGTTCTGACCAGAAGTGCACTCAGGCTGACGTCTGCATTGTACTGAGCTTCCTCAGGAGTTATTTGTATATTCACAGAAGGGCTTCATACTGGTAAGCAACACTTATTTAGATTGAAGTTCAGGTTATGATAAAGAGCGCAGTACTGCAGATCCCAGCTGTATCAGGAGAGTCCCAGCAGTAGATAGCCCTTTCTTCTGCTAAGATTTATTGATTAATTTTGAGTTCTAGCTGTTCATCTTAGGTGTGCAGGGATGCCATAAATGGAGTAAGATTTACTGAGATAAAAGGAAACCTGGGAACAAAGGAAGCTTAAAATAAGCTTAGTTTAGAGGTTTCCAAATCTCACCAAGAGAGATGTAAGCGGTTTTTCTGTAGACATTTCTCATGTCAGTAGAAATAATGTTTTCATTACAGCATTTGCACAACTACAGAAGTTTCTTAGTTTTATTTGTGCGCTTTGTGCATACGGACATTGGGGGAACCTGCAGGAATAAAATGAGAATGACAAGTACTAAATGTTCAGTATAAATATCAAATGTGTATTATCAAAATAATACAAGGCTTTCCACTTTGTTTCTAGAATTAAATTATAATACAAGACAAGCTGTTTAAATGTTTATTATAGCAGAACGTGCTCTGTAATTAGTCATGGTGTCAAACAATGTTGTTTACAATTCTGTTCCTCTTTAAAAAAATATAATGGGCTGCAGACCCCTGAGTTGATGGCTCAGCCCTGAGGTGACTGTATGAGGTTCAGAAAAAAAGCAGCTCTGAAGGAAATCTGTGATGTAAGCCGAACAGAATTGAGCCCTAACCCTTTGCTTTATTAGCTGAGCATGCCTTTTTTCAAGTTGTTAGAGGGAAAACTAGTTTGACTTAAGCTATTTGTGTGTACAAACAAAACATTAATGGGTAATTTCTTAAGCTAATCTCTTAGGCTAATTTTTACACTTCTCGCAAACATGGTGCTTTTTTCGTCTCTTCAAATGTTAATATAAATATTTTTCTTTTTCTAGGGTGAAAATCCTATTTACAAGAGTGCCGTGACAACTGTGGTCAATCCTAAATATGAGGGAAAATGAACACTGCTTGTATAACTTCACAACACTGTATGCAGCATAGCGATTTTTGTAGTCACAGTAAGATAGATTTAGGGCAAACTGCAGTGATTTTACTAATTCATTACATATAGGTTTGTTTTCCTGTGCAGGTTTTGAAAATGTACCATATGTAATTTTTTTTTTTTATTGTTTTTGGCAAGTAAAAGTAATCAGTGCCAGGGATCTGACAAAAAAAAACTTGAGACTGTGTAGCCTAGTCAGCTAAGGTCACATGGTGCCTTTTTGACCTTTTCCACTCCTGTGCTGTGAATCCGGGTCTTCTGCAGGGTGCGATACTGCTGTGGCATGAACGGGGAGGGAGAGGGTTAAGGTAATCAGCATGGGGGCTCTGCCTAGCCATTTAGTATTAAACTTTTTAGCTTTACAGGGAAATCAGGGCTTGAGTTTGCAGATATAATTAAACTCGTGTAGCATGGAGCTGGTGGTTAATTGGTGTTCTGCTTGCTAGACATTTGATTACGTATATGGTAAGTTGGAAGTGAGCAGTGTAAAAGACTGAGAAGTGTGTGTATACTGATTTTTAATTTTTAAGTTGCTTATTGCCAGGTTGTGGTTAAAATGAAAGTGTTTGAGAAGAATGTTAAGAAGGAAAAAATAGCTTTAAAACACGTGCCATTACTGAAAAAGTTGCTAACTGGTAACTTGCCTAGTTTTTCTTTGTAAATTCAAGCCCTGGGTGGCAGTATCATGAAGTACCTTACCAAGACATCCTCAAAACACATAAGGGCCTTATGTCACACTGTGTCTTTATTCTGTAATGTTTCCTTGGTTTAAAGCCTGGTGCTTTGTCACCCTTCTAATCTTTTTAATGTATTTGGTTGCAATTCTTTCTGTAATATTTTTGTATCAACACGAGCTTTTTTTTTTTCTTCCCTTTTTTTCTGGGCAGTCTTAGCTGTAAATTTGCCTTTACCCTGTAGCTAAGATTGCGTAGTTTCTCATGTGACATGAGTCACACATCATTCTTGACATGTGCCATGTATATTTGCCTTTGACCATTCAAACTGCATCATAGTCATATTCTTGTTTTAAGTGCCTTTTTATTTTAACAGATGTTCACTTTTTACAGTGCTGTTACTGAAGTTATTTATTAAATAAAAGTACCTTAAAATACTGAAATCTCGTCTCTTTCTCTCATAGAAGTTGATACTATGCAGAAAACCTGAGAACTGTGTCTGTTTGGGCAAGAGGTAACAGACATTGTAACAATAACAAATACGCCCTTGAGGTCAAATCTGAGACAAGTTAAGCAGAAGTGATCTTGTGTAACAAACATTAGCTGTGGTACAAAATGCACAAAGGCCAGGGTGGAGCACAGGGCTTTGTGTCACATACAGTGGCCACTGATGTAAAGCCCCAGGCTTTCATTTGCATGTTTGGTAAAGAAGTTCTGTAGTTTAATAGCTGTTCCAACAAATGGAGTATTTGGTTAATATTGTTACAAAATGCACAACAAATGAGAAAAATTACTGCATTTTGTAGGAAAATAAAGTCTTCCAGATTTTTTTTAGGGGTATAATGTTCTAGATAGATTATCAAAACGTGGTAATTAAATACATTCCTAAAGTATGTTCATGGAGTCTGTATTATCTTTTTTTTTTTTAACTGTTGATGCTTCAGGTTATCCAGAGAAGTTGTGGGGATCTGCTAAAAGTCCCTTTTAACCTCCGTCGGAGGGCAGAAGGAGCCTGGTTTCCATGACGTGGGAGGGGGGCATCAGTGGAGAGGTTGGGCTGTGTGTGTGTTTGGCTTAATCTCTCCATGAGGGAAGCAACTGGAGACAAGAGGATCCAGGGGCCAACTATGGGTAGACTTGGCTGTCTGAGGCCAGTTACTAGAGGGACGTTAGGGTTGGCGGGGGGGGGA